AAAAAAATATATATGAAGATTCCATTTTGGATGATTTATACCATCCTTTTTACACGACGGTACGGTTATTAGCATTTTACTATCTACGTACTATGCTGACATGATTTTAGGTTCTGAGATTCGGAATTCCGGGAACATTATTTCCGATGGCTTTGGTGTACTATCAGACCCGCGATTACAGTTGAGCAGTAATAATTCTGAATAAGGGACTGAAATTAGGTCTCTAACTACAATATATATCCAATATCGAGAGCCTTTGTTATACTGAAGTGGGAGACAGAGCGTTCTCAACGTCCAAGTGGAAATAAAAAGACTCTATAAATTACAAGTCTTTATGTAATTTGATTAAACCTAGGTTTAAGAGGGCAAGGAGAAATATAATATTTCTAAATTTTATGTAAGTAGAGCTTTCTATCTTAAAGAATTGAAAAACATCTGTGGATCGCCTGATGTTATCGCCTAATGAATTCTTTCTCTGTAATTATTACTATTTCGCTAAATTTATAGTTACTAAATTGTAATATGAATATGTGAATTTTAGTTATATTATCTATCCTCCTAAGATTTCTCAATTCTGATGAAACGCTAGTTGCTCGCTCGGTTACTTGTTCTGCCTTCATGTAACTGGATGTGTTACAGATGTCTGTCACTGTGTTAGTGGGTTTCCGTAACGAGGAGGTCTTTTGTGAAAGTTTTTAAACCGTTTCTTATTTCCTAAGTAAGTTAAGGTTATTTTTAGACCACTTTGCAAGGTATTATTTTAATAAATATTAACTCTATTCGTTTCTTTTGCTAAGCTTGATTAAAATTGTAAAATGTGGAGTATTGATTTCTTTCTCCAATTGGGATTTAGAATACAATTCATAGTAAACGTGAAAATAATTAATTGGTAGTAATTAACTTATAAGAAATGAACAAAAATTAATTAAAATTTAATAAATATTCACTAAAAGTTAATAAAAATGAATTAGTAGTGTTAAAATTTTAATTTAGCGTTTCTCATTCCTTTTATTATGTCATGTTTAAATATTATAAAAATTTAAATTTACATTGAAATTATAAAAATTACCTGCAACTATTCTATTTACGAAAACTTTTGGAATCAGAGCGTTTTCAATCTGGAAGGAGGCAAATTTTGCCTATTTAATTAGGCACTAAAAACTCGTAAATACACATTTGCTTTCTACTTGGATCGTAAGATAATTCGATCACAAAATCGATAAAAAGGGTAGCCTACAAAAATATTGGGCCGTTTGTCATATATAATCTCGTTATTTTGAAATTTTATGGGTGTATTGAGCCGTTTCAATATTTTTGAGGCTACCTTTTTTTCTCGATTTTTTGATCAAATTATCTTACAATCCAAGTAGAAAGCAAGTGTGTATGTACGAGTTTTTAGTACCTAATTAAACAGACAAATTCCACGAGTTTTCGTAAATAAAATAGTTGTAGTTACCGATGAGATGAAACTATTTAAGAAGTTCCAGGCGGATGATAATAATTCGATAAAAGGGGTCTTTACCACGGATTATTTACTTTATTTACATTTATTCAACATTCTGACTAAACTGATCTTCGAAGAGCAAGGCAGCAACCAGTGGGCGGGGTGGCCGAATGGGCTAACGCGTGTGCACTGCACCGTCGTTGTCCGGCAACCTGATAGATGAGATTTGATTAAAAAAAATAGTCACGAGTTCGCGTCCCGGTGCCCGGAGGAGTTTTTAAATCCCCGCCCACACTCCCTGGCTCGGGAAAACCCCCGTATAGCCTTAAAGGGGAGGCAGAAAATAAAAAAAGAAGGCAGCAACCTATTTTTATCTTCACCATTAAAAAACAAAACAGAATTAGTAATTTTTATTAATTATTGTTTTCTTTAATATTATTATTATTTGTTTGCAAATTTTATTTATTACAGTATAATTCTTTGTTGATTTTGGTGTCTTTTGATATTTTTTTTTCTAGTTTATTTATTTAAGATGTTTTATTATTGTTTATAATTTAATGTATTCTATAATAAAATATATTTAGAAGTATATTCACTTCAACTTCAACTTCTGTAACAGTTGCGGTTAACCAACACCCCGCCGAAGGTCATGTGATCAATTTCCTTGCCTGTTTATAGTCTGCTGTTAGATTGCCTCTTATTGTGCACAGTTAGAGGTTTCATCTCGTCTGAACTGAACAATGTAAAACTTTTCAACTGAATATTGAAAGTCCTTTGAAAAATAATTCTTAATTTAAGCGAAGAGACAATTTTGCGCTTCGATGGGCGTCCTTGTACAAAAAATTTTAATTCAAATGGTTTCGAAGTATTGTAATTAACTTTAGAAAAAGTTCCCTTCTTGTTTTACATTCCTCAGATGATTAAATTCTTATCGTTCTTCGTTCTGGCTTTGATAATCTATAATCTTTAAAATGTAATAAGCTGTTAAATATATATATATTTAATATATATATATTTAATATATATATATATATATATATATATATATATATAATATATATAATAAATATATATATAATATATATAGAGAGAGAGAGAGAGAGAGAAGAGAGAGAGAGAGAGAGAGAAGAGAGAGAGAGAGAGAGAGAGAGAGAGAGAAGAGAGGAGAGAGAGAGAGAGAAGAGAGAGAGAGAGAGAGAGAGAGAGAGAGAGAGAGAGAGAGAGAGAGAGAGAGAGAGAGAGAGAGAGAGAGAGAGAGAGAGAGAGAGAGAGAGAGAGAGAGAGAGATAGAGAGAGAGAGAGAGAGAGAGAGAGAGAGAGAGAAGAGAGAGAGAGAGAGAGAGAGAGACAGAGACAAGACAGAGACAGAGACAGAGACAGAGACAGAGACAGAGACAGAGACAGAGACAGAGAGAGAGAGACAGAGAGAGAGAGAGAGAGACAGAGAGAGAGAGAGAGAGAGAGAGAGAGAAGAGAGAGAGAGACAGAGAGACAGAGAGACAGAGAGAGAGAGAGAGAGAGAGAGAGAGAGAGAGAGAGAGAGAGAGAGAGAGAGAGAGAGAGAGAGAGATCATTATACACATATTATCAAATATTGTGTATTAATCACAATTGTAGACATACGAAGAGATTAAAATTTATATGTAATTTTGTAAGCCCTGTTCTAATATAAATTAATTCCAAAATCTGACAGAGTGCATTGAATCAACTACCGTTTAACTGAAGGATGAAATGAGGACTATATATCACAGCAAAACGAAAAAGCATTAAAACAATTCGTAATTGCTATGTCATATTATATAAGCTTTAAATACAATTGAAACTTAGAATTTTGTAAGATATATATTGTTATTGACGCTTTGAAAGGCATAATTTAATTTCCTGTTTATTATAGAATAGATTAGAAAATAATTTCATTCTGGGACGAAGTCCCTTCAGAATAACAAAAAAGTACAGAAATTAAAATTTTACATCTGGCCAGATAAAAACAAACATAAAAAGTAAAGATAAAGATAAATCAGTAAAAAAAAAAAAAAAAAAATAGTTATACATAATATATACAAAATAAAATAAAATAATCTATATACAAAACTCTCGAAACCATACTAAGATACTTAAAACTATGTACAGTGGTAAAATATAAATAAACCCTTTCAGAAAAATATAAAATAAAAAAAATATGTAATTTTACATAAAAGGTTAGCTGACTGTTTTTGGAACAAGAATTGGAATAGAAGGGTTTTGAATGTAGATAGGGATAAAGAATGTCGGATTTTGATAGGAAGGGAATTCCAAAAATTAACAGAGCAAGCAATAAAGGAGTTCTGGAACGAGGCAGATCTGTGAGAAGGAATGTAAAGGTCGGAAGGTCGAGATCTTGTGGAGAGGGAGTGGATTGAGGATTTGAATTGGAGAAGATTGTAGGCGTAGGAAGGACGATGATTGTTGATGATATGATAGAGAAATGTACCTAGGAAATATTGTCTTCGAATGGAGGGGAAGAGCCACTCTTAACTCAGTGTAGTGGTGAGAGACATGGTAGTATCTCGGGGCACCAATTATTACAAAAAACCATTAAATACCATTTCATAAAATTAAATGACTATGTTTTAGTGAATCCATACTATGTGTAATGATGTAAAATTCACAAATACGTGCTTTAAAAAAAAAATTACTCAATGGCCTTTTTTATTGAACCTATTTCAATAATATATATAATAACTTAATTATTTAATAATAATTGTTGTTCATTTAACGGTTTTTTTTTAATTGATCAGCCTCAGAAAAATACCAAAAATCTAATTGAAAAATATTTATTTTCTATCAGATGTAACGAGCGGATAAAATTAATGAAAAGACTTGAGTAAAACAAGAAGATAACAAGTTTTGATGAGATGAGCCTTCAGTTTTGTGTTTGTGAAAATGAGGCAACTGGAAATAAATCTTATCTAATCAAAAAACTCGGTGTCTGCTAGTGTTGCCCAAATGCGAGACCGAGACGAGTCTTGGTCTTGCAAACTCAGTCTTGGTCTTGCGCAAGACTCTCGCATTAATCTTGCAGTTACTTGTTAGCTTATTACTATAGAATATTACTGTAATTTTTTAAGTAGGAGAAACCTAACTAAGCCCGAATGAAATATTAGAGGAGTTAAATGCAAAAGTATATTGGTTATACCAATTCTTTACATATGGTTACTAAGATTGTCAATTTTTATTTTTAATCTATTTTTATTTTAAAATCAATTATTTTTACCAGTCCTAGTCTTGGTCTTGCAACAGTTAGGCGGCCTTGGTCTTGCAAGACCAAGACCGATTTTGAGCAACACTAGTTAGTGTCTGCTAACTAGCAGAGGAATACGTCTAATGCCCCAGCATTTGTGGGCGTATGACGTTTTAAAATAAAGACAAAATTTGTGCAGCTGAAAATATTAAAAACAGTACATCATTAAATCTAGAGATACATAACTGAAATTATGACGAAATCTTGGCTTTTTGAGTTGGAAGCGGGTGCATCATTGTCCCTATTTGTTGAGTGTATTTCGACTTGCCACGATGTATGACGTTTCAACACGTCTCGTTAGCATCGTATGTATTCACCTTTACTGCTGTTGATAGATAAATTAAAGGTATACCTTGAGTACATTTAGATCATTTAAACTGGATAATTAAATGTTCGTTATTTTCCAGAAAAAGTTATTAATTTTACAATTTCAGCATGTTAAATATCAAATTTTTATTTTCAGCTTTGACTCGACAGAAGAATGTGCGGTCTTGATCGTGTATGAAAAAAAAATTCTTAGGCCCAAGCATGTCAGATTAGAGACTAAACAGATGCCTTGTAACATCCATCGAAGAAACTTTACCCATACTATTAACACACTAAAGTTGTTATACTTTTTATAGACTTTCCACTCTTATCATCAGACGAAACTTTTCATGCATATCTATCTTCCTCTGGACGTCCATCTTTTCGGATTATGGACGCTTTCGCTCCAGACTTCACGGGTCCATATAAGGATTTTCAGACAAGAGGCATCACGTACTAAGATAAGAAGGTGGATGAGAGATTCGCTAAATTAGATTCTTTAATATTAAGCGTCTTTTTTCGATACTTCCTTAAAGGTTTTGCAATAAATGTGTTTTAGAAGAAAACTTGTATAATGTGCTTTTATTTTAATAATTAAACTTTTATTTCTAAACTGAAATTATTTTCTTAGCAGGGTATGGTTTTATTCCAGTTTCTGATTCGTTGGTTTAATGCCAAAGAATATCTTTATAGATAAGCCTCAGCATTATTTTTGTTTTATTTGAACGCTTTGGAACGTAATAAATCTTGCACGGTCCATTTGCTTTCGGGGTCGCTCTGATAACGAACACGGGGTATTTTTTTGTTATCTATTGTTCTGATTATTATATCTGTCGTGTTTAAAGACTTATGATTTAGGAAAAACAGTCTATAAACTTTGAGATAGAATCGAATATCATTATTTTTTTTATTTTATTTTTTTTTGTAAAGTGTGAAAAGGTGTGATCTAATTTAAAAAAAATTAATTTAAGTAGAATTATTTTTCATCATAACTTTTTCAAATGCCTTTCCTGTAGGTATAATGAGTGCACTACATACATGAAAATTTAAAGGACTTCTAGGAAAATACTCGTTGGAGCCATTTTGAGAGGATTTCTAGAAAAACATGTTGTTTTTTTTGGGGGGGGGGAGGGGATGAGTAGGGATGGAGGAGCTATAGCGCAGCTCCTATTGTGCACAGTCAACCGTAAATTGTATACAACAGGCATAGGGGGCAGAAACCAAACAAAAAAAAAACATAAGTCCACCCGTGTAAGAAATAATCCTGGCACAGGCAGACCAATAATCAAAAAGGCGTTTTTTTCCTCATAGGGTTCTGAAAGGCATAGCTTTGCTAAAAACTATACATCTATATTTTGAGTAGATTTTTTCCTTTATTTAGAACTATTAAATAATAATAAAGGATTAGCGAACCCGAAGGTTCTATGCTGATACGATCAGTCGGTGTCCACATACTTCGGTCTATCCTATGTTCGCCATTCGTCACAGTAAATATTAACCGTTTATGAATTTTTTCATTACAAGCCCTATAATTTTATCTTCCTAATTTATTCGCCACAATGCAAATATTATAAATATATAAGAAATGAGATAAATTGTTTTGTTTTTTATATCTGCTTTGTAAGGTAATTAAGGATATTTTATGATAATTTTATCACTATTCTATTCTTTTTAATTATTTTACTTTTGTGCATTTCGATTGGTATTATTTTTATTTTAATATAAAAATTAAATATTAACTTACACTCTTCGGTACTTTATTTTAGATATTTTTTGGTTCGTTGAATTTTGTAAGAAATAAATTTAAAGTTTACAATTATTAGAGTTATATTTTGTAGCATTTTAAATTTTATTTCCAATTATTATTAATTTTTTAAAAATATATTATTTCTTATTATACACTTCTTACTAAATACCATACTTTAATGAGCAGCCAATTCATTCAATTATCTTTATTGTCGCTTATTTATTTTGGGGAGTACTTGCATAATTAACCTTATTCTTATTATTGTATTATCGGTAATGTATATACGAGCCATAAATTCTTAGATTTCGAAATTTCATCTCTCACATTTTTATTACAGTTATAAAAGGCAATTTCTGAAACTCAATGATGCCTTTTCTTGTAAAATGTAGTAATTCACCGAAAATACAGATATATAAATAAATAAAGTTAAGACAGGTGCTTTTTTATAAATCTACTTATATTTCCTCTAGAAGTATTTTCCTCTTCTCGTCCAATTTTATTTATATTATTTCCTATGGTTATCATCTTTTATTACTTGGATCATGATGAGGAAAAAAGCGAGTCCGTCCTTGTACTTTCCGTGTGGGTTGAACGATTTCTCGGAATACTACATTTTATATGTTTTCCTGCTCTTTAGAATATTCTTCCAGTTCTCGCAATGTTACTGAATGGTGGCAGATACTTGAAACTATGTAGAATCTTCACAAAACGTATTTTCCTGAAATCTCTAACCATATTCTCGCGTCTGCCTTTATGTGTCTATTTTTCTTCCATTTTAGTAGAAAAAGATGTGTTTCGAACTTATTAAGGTAACAAGTGTCAACAAAAATCAGATCTTCTGGTATATAATTCGTCAATTAAACATAAATAGATGTATTTATATTGTATGTTAAATATTTTTCAAATGTGATATATTCAATATATATTATATATGTAAGCTGTATTTTCGTTTGTAAATTGTAATATAAAGTCCTATGTCTTCAATAGGCGATTTAGGTCATTGTAGGTAATGTTACATTTTTCACCCAATTTTCTTTTGATTTCATTCTTAATTCTTTTAGTTTTACTTATTTTTATTAGTTATGCAACAATACAAAAAAAGTCAGTAACTTATAACTCTTAAAGAAGAACTGGTAACATGTTGCTACTGTGTGTGCATTCTAACAGTGCTTCACGTACTAACTGAGTGTATGGGTTACGACTCAAAGATTTTCCAAAGAACCAGGACAAATATTGAGACAGGACCCTGGCACGTTAAGGACTTTTTTTAGGGAGGGGTCCTCATCCCTCTTCTTCGCCTTTAAGGCTATACGGGGTTTTCCTGGGCCAGGGAGTGAGGGAGGAGATTTAAGGCTCCCGGCACCGGGACGCGAACTCGTGGCTTTTTTTATTCAGTTATCTCATGTGTCAGGTTGCCGGGCAACGGCGGTGCTTTGCACACACGTTAGTCCATTCGGCCACTCCGCCCTAACGTTCACGACTTACTAAATTTTCAAGAATTATCGACATATACATACAATCAAATTTAAAAGACCTGCAAGACACTACAGAGACTTCAGTGTAAATGACTCCGGTGGTCGAAACACTCAAATAAATAAACAAATGATATCAACTTTTGAAATATTAGTTATAAAATAACATTCAGAGAACTATCACCAGTATATAGAATTGAACGGATTGGAGTTGTAGGTGAGAAAAGAACTAAGCAGTTAGTTTGTTACTCAGAAGGTCCTTGTCAAAAACAACTGTTGTATAACAAGTAATAGGATCATTTCAAACAGAACCTTCATTCTACGAAAGGGAAAGTTCCTGAACTCAGCGCTAAGCACTAATTGATGGCATCGGATCGGTCTTTAAACTGGGTAAAACAATACCATCCACGATACCATTGCCAAGTTTTAGTGTGCTTGTCCTCTATTTGTTGTCTTAAAATACGAAAGGGGTTGTAATCACTCTTCCTTTTTGGTGTTGATTCGGGTAATCAAAATGTTTAAATACATTTTTATTTAAAAAATGTATATTGGACCATCTCACTTATTGCTAATATAGAATAAGTTGCGATATTATATTCTACAACATAAGAATCTCTTTAACCGCACTCTGTTACAGCAAACAGAAAGATCTCTGATTCATATTCAAGAGAATCCTCAGAGGAAAATCCATTGTCAAAAGTATGATGTCATGATCGTCAAGAGAGAACACCATAGATACAATCGTTTTGTCTTCTCCGTCGCCTTTTAGGCTAATGGGAGTTTTCCCAGCCAGGGATGAGGGCGATGGATTAATACCAGAGTTAAAAGCCCACACCTCTAGTACCAGGACGCTAACTTGTAATTATTTTATCTTTTAAACTACTTATTGTAGCTCGCTTGGCCGCCTTGCCCTATCATATATAAATAATCATAAAAAGTTTTAATGTGAGCATACATTTATTGGTGGTATTCATACCAATCAAAAAGTAAAGTAAATATCATTTTGTAAAATGAGTTTAGACTCTTCCCTCCTCAATGATTTGAATCTGTATTATTTTTGTGATATATTACATTATTTTACAATTCATTAATTATGTAAACGAAATTTTTCCACCATTGTACTGTAAGATGGGGTAACTTTGGGACAGTGGGTATGATTTAGCTTGTGGTGGATATATTGTGTTGGTTCAGTCCGCAAAAACTGTTAAATATTGTAGGCGAACTGGAGGGCTAAAAAGTACGTGGCCCTTTCCCTTCCTCATGGTAGATATAACCTTTCTAATATTTTTGATTATCGAAAATAAATATAGAATACCTCCTTGCCGTTAATTTATTTATTCTTTTGATATATTTTTTCAATAAATCTTTGTTATGCACTAAGAAATGATAAATATATTATTTTAAATTTATCTTTCAGAATATGCAGGACATCTTAGGTTGTTTCTTGGAACTTGGCATAACCAAAAAAAATAATTATAGATCATCGGATAGTAACCATAATAATACCAATATTCTTTAATATAGCTCCATGGTTGATTTTTTTTTTTTTTTTTTGCCATATTGAATATTCATTTTATTTAAAACTGCCCTTTTAGGATTTTCCGTCTGTTGCTTTGTCCGCAACTTTCTAATTGGACTTATTTTCACCTTTAGTGGCTCGTTCACCGTTTAGGCTTCGCCCTAGAGAGAAGCCTGTAGTGGTCTTAAAGCAGTTAGTACTAATTGAATTAAAGGCCCTCTGTTAGGTCAACGGTGTACTCTTGGATCTGAGAGATTTGCTTCATTGGATCCAGATAAACCCTTTAATACTGTTTTGTTGACACAGGCTGTGTCTGCTATTGGCACAAGTTGTATCTAACCCGTATCCGAACGATTTCAAAGGTGTAAAATTCCTTAAATTTCTATGTAACATTTAAAATAAACGTTATTCTTTGAGAAAAACATTTTTTTCCTGCCGATCTACACTGGTTTTAAAGTCAACGAATTGTGATCGAATAAATCCCACAAGGGGACTAAAAATCTCCCATTACCGAGATAAATTGTAATTCTTGCCGAATACCTCTTTAGTGCTATAGTCGCCAGGAGATATTAAAATTAGGTTTTAAAAACTAGAATATTGCTTTATATGATAGACAGATGGAAGAGAATAGCTCTAAGCAGGGGTGTCCCCCCCCCCCAAGGTCGATGGCGCAAGGACCTTCCCCCTCTTCTCCTCCCACTCCCAGATATTTTATTGCTCAT